TGTGAATGGTCATCTGTGTGTCAGTGTGCATTATCCCCTCTATTACACCATCTTATTTGAAATAAGCTTCATCCTGCTCCAACCTTCGATGCAACAGTGTGGAATGAATAAACGTTCCAGCATTTTTTTCTTTTCTATTTCACTTTTGTTTTCTAGCTTATGAACTCGTGCTGTCACAGCACAGCCTTTTAACCTTTTAGTTGCTGTTGTGGGTTAAGATAAAATAGCCATACTAGGCTTTTGGTTGCTGGGATGTAGCAGTTGCTTCGTTCTAGTTCTTCATCATTTAACACCCACACTGCAAAGAAATTGCACGAGTGACAGTTAGTGACTTTGTAGGCCTTTTCCTCTTTTTCTTAGACTTTGATAATGGCTTTACATTTTATTAATTTCACCTTTCAAAGCTCTTTGCTAAAGTTTTACAGCATTTCCATAATGACCTTCTTTAAATGGGATGTGAAATATGGCCCTAAATTCCAAAAATGTGAACATCAATAAAACAGGTGCAGTAATAAGACAAGAAAATAGACAATAGATCTTGGGAACAGACATTCAGTTTTAGACATTAAAGATGTTCATGTGTCATCATCATCATCATTATCATCACCATCATCATCACCATCAATATGATCAACATTTAAGTCATTGTTACAGCAGCATGACATGAATATTTGTCTTCTAATCCAGGATTAAAGCCGGGGATCTAACTGTGATCAGCAGGGACTGATAGAAGAGTGATAGATGGAGGAGTAAATGGGCAGAAGTGAAGGGAAGAAGAGAACAAAACAGACAGACCTTCTGCATCCTGTCTTGTTCCTCCTTTACATATATTGTGTCTGTGAGTGTGAGTATATGTGTGTGCTTCTGTTTTACTGGCAGGATGTATGCATTTACTGTAGCTCGCATCCCGCTGTGCAGCAATCTGTTAGCACTTCCTTAGGTTCCTTTGTTTACCAGAAACGGCATACCTGGCTGAGGTTCTGAGCTGGGAGTGAAATGTAGTGAAATGTTGCACTCGCACAAACACTTGTTACCTCAAAAACTGAGTGTATGCACTCTGCAGGATGCTAGGGACAGGGCAGTTTCTTCTAAACGTAACCGATGATGGTTTATGACTTATGAAATGCTGTTTTACAATTGCAGCAGTAAGTGTTTTGCTGGGCGTGAGAAGCATCATGGCAAATATAAATATGCTTTACCTTTATTGATCGGATGGATGCTTCTATTCAAAGTTATGGTGGTAATGTTATATATATATATGTTGCTAGAGGTCTTTTTTCCTTCCATTTTATGCTTCCAATCACTATTTGATGTTTTATTAGCAGTAATACAATACTATATGCCTTTCATTATTGAATGTCTTTTTCTCTATTTCATATCAAGCAGCACTATTTTCAAGACAGATTTCCTCTTGGGGACAATAAAGGTTATTTGGCTTGATTGATTTCTTTGAGTTCTGTTTCCTCTGACATTAGAGTCTAAGGTCAGAGGAAAACATTTTACATTGATTGCAAAACTAATTGTCTTTAATTGGTGTATCATTGGACATAGTTCATAAACACGAGTTAGGATAATCACATAGGCCGACGCTACACCAGTGAATTTTTAAAACAGTGGGTTATTCCATTTTCGACGTGTGCTTCAGAACTAGCTCTCAGCCTCATGTTGTGATTTTGTGGATTCTACCAAGTTTTATCTACTATGTCTGTCTCTGTTATCTTGTTTTATGCTTTCCCCCCCAAGGACACAAGAAAAATGAGTTTCACTCTATTTTTCTCCTTCTTCTTTTTTTCCAGTCTGGCAGTGTGCCACGGTGAGCACAGATCCTATAGTGAGGGCTTAGATAATGAGCACACACGGTCACACAGTAACATAGTGTTCGACTGGCGGCAGCCGGCGACGTCGTCACTGTATGTGGTGCCGATATGTTGTGTGTGAGAGTGTGTGTTTTCAGATTTTCCCTTGAGCATGGGATTACTTTGATTGACAAGTGCAATCGCTGGTTACCACCATCTCGGTTTTTACAGATGTCACACGAATTTGTCATGTTGGGATCGCTATAGCAACAGCATCAGGGATTGTCTCACCTTGATTTCAGAGGGACGCCATGTTTCGTCACCTCATACTGTTATTCTGCCAATCTTTCAGTCAGTCTGAATCAATCTGAGATGCTTGTTAGGCCTGCTGCCTGGGAAAATAATAATTATTAACATGACTGCAAAGCGGAGCTGTGTTGGGCAGTCTTTGGTTCCACTATAGCACCAGGAAGGACAAAAGGGGAGATGACAAATCTTAGTTTTACAAGACATAATGTAATGTAAT